CCCAATATCTCTAATGAACCTAGATGCAAAAATCCTCAATAAAATTCTGGCGAATCGGATACAAAAACAAATCAAAAAAATTGTGCACCATGATCAAGTAGGATTCATCCCTGGGATGCAAGGCTGGTTCAATATACGGAAATCAATAAATGTTATTCACCACATCAATAGACTTAAAAATAAGAACCATATGACCATCTCGATAGATGCAGAAAAAGCATTCGACAAAGTACAGCATCCCTTTATGTTCAAAACTCTAGAAAAACTAGGGATAACAGGAACATACCTCAATATTGTAAAAGCAATCTATGCTAAGCCTCAGGCTAGCATCATTCTGAATGGAGAAAAATTGAAGGCATTCCCTCTAAAATCTGGAACAAGACAGGGATGCCCTCTCTCACCACTTCTGTTCAACATAGTTCTCGAGATACTGGCCAGAGCAATTAGATAGATGAAAGAAATCAAAGGCATAAAAATAGGAAAAGAAGAACTTAAATTATCACTATTTGCAGTGACATGATTCTATACCTAGCAGACCCAAAAGGCTCTACAAAGAAACTATTAGAGCTAATAAATGCATTCAGCAAAGTGGCAGGATATAAAATCAACACGCATAAATCAAAGGCATTCCTGTATATCAGCGACAAATCCTCTGAAATGGAAATGAGGACAACCACTCCATTCACAATATCCTCAAAAAAAATAAAATACTTGGGAATCAACCTAACAAAAGAGGTGAAAGACTTATACAATGAAAACTACAGAACCCTAAAGAGAGAAATAGAAGAAGATCTTAGAAGATGGAAAAATATACGCTGTTCATGGATAGGCAGAACTACCATCATCAAAATGGCGATATTACCAAAAGTTCTCTATAGGTTTAATGCAATGCCAATCAAAATCCCAACGGCCTTTCTTGTAGAAATAGAGAAAGCAATCATGAAATTCATATGGAAAAATAAAAGACCCAGAATAGCAAAAACAATGCTAAGCAGGAAGTGTGAATCAGGCGGTATAGCGATACCAGACTTCAAACTATACTACAGAGCAATAGTAACAAAAACAGCATGGTACTGGTACCAAAACAGGCAGGTGGACCAATGGTACAGAATAGAGGACACAGAAACCAATCCACAAAACTACAACTATCTTATATTTGATAAAGGGGCTAAAAGCATGCAATGGAGGAAGGATAGCATCTTCAACAAATGGTGCTGGGAAAACTGGAAATCCATATGCAACAAAATGAAACTGAATCCCTTTCTCTCGCCATGCACAAAAGTTAACTCAACATGGATCAAGGAGCTTGATATCAAATCAGAGACACGGCGTCTGATAAAAGAAAAAGTTGGCTACAATCTACATACTGTGGGTTCGGGCTCCAAATTCCTCAATAGGACACCCATAGCACAAGAGTTAATAACTAGTATCAGCAAATGGGACTTACTCAAACTAAAAAGTTTTTTCTCAGCAAAAGAAACAATAAGAGAGGTAAATAGGGAGCCTACACCCTGGGAACAAATCTTTACTCCTCACACTTCAGATAGAGCCCTAATATCCAGAGTATACAAAGAACTCAAAAAATTAGACAATAAGATAACAAATAGCCCAATCAACAAATGGGCCAAGGACCTGAACAGACACTTCTCAGAGGAGGACATACAATCAATCAACAAGTACATGAAAAAATGCTCACCATCTCTAGCAGTCAGAGAAATGCAAATCAATACCACCCTAAGATACCATCTCACTCCAGTAAGATTGGCAGCCATTATGAAGTCAAACAACAACAAGTGCCGGTGAGGATGTGGGGAAAAGGGTACACTTGTATATTGCTGGTGGGACTGCAAATTGGTGCGGCCAATTTAGAAAGCAGTATGGAGATTTCTTGGAAAGCTGGGAATGGAACCACCATTTGACCCAGCTATTCCCCTTCTAGGACTATTCCCTAAAGACCTAAAAAGAGCATGCTACAGGGACACTGCTACATCGATGTTCATAGCAGCACAATTCACAATAGCAAGACTGTGGAACCAACCTAGATGCCCTTCAATAGACGAATGGATAAAAAAAAATGTGGCATTTATACACAATGGAGTATTACTCTGCATTAAAAAATGACAAAATCATAGAATTTGCAGGGAAATGGATGGCATTAGAGCAGATTATGCTAAGTGAAGCTAGCCAATCCCTAAAAAACAAATGCCAAATGTCTTCTTTGATATAAGGAGAGTAACTAAGAATAGAGTAGGGACGAAGAGCATGAGAAGAAGATTAACATTAAACAGGGATGAGAGGTGAGAGGGAAAGGGAGAGAGAAGGGAAATTGCATGGAAATGGCAGGAGACCCTCAGGGTTATACAAAATTACATACAAGAGGAAGTGAGGGGAAAGGGAAAAATAATACAAGGGGGAGAATTGAATGACAGTAGAGGGGGTAGAGAGAGAAGAGGGGAGGGGAGGGGAGGGGAGAGGGGATAGTAGAGGATAGGAAAGGCAGCAGAATACAACAGACACTAGTATGGCAATATGTATATCAATGGATGTGTAACTGATGTGATTCTGCAATCTGTATACGGGGTAAAAATGGGAGTTCATAACCCACTTGAATCAAACTGTGAAATATGATATATCAAGAACTATGTAATGTTTTGAACAACCAACAATAAAAATTAAAAAAAAAAAAGAAACAATCTGTGAGGTAAATAGAGAACCTACATATTGGGAGCAAATCTTTACCCCTCACACATCAGATAGAGCTCCAATCTCTAGGGTATATAAAGAACTCAAAAAGCTAAACACCAAAAATCCAAATAACTCAGTCAATAAATGGGCCAAGGACCTGAACAGACACTTCTCAAAAGATGATATACAATCAATCAACAAATATATAAAAAATGTTCAACATCTCTAGCAATTAGAGAAATGCAAACCAAAACCACTCTAAGATTTCATCTCACTCCAGTTAGAATGGCAGCTATTATGAATACAAACAACAAGAAGTGTTGGTGAGGATGTGGGGAAAAAGGTACACTCATATATTGCTGGTGGGACTGCAAATTGGTGCAGCCAATATGGAAAGCAGTATGGAGATTCCTTGGAAATCTGGGAATGGAGCCACCATTTGACCCAGCTATCTTTCTCCTCGTTCTATACCTAAAGGACTTAAAATCAGCATACTACAGGGACACAGCCACATCAATGTTTATAGCAGCACAATTCACAATAGCTAAACTGTGAAACCAACTCAGACACTCTTCAATAGATAAATGGATTTAAAAAATGTAATATATATATATATATATATATATATATACACACACACACACACATATACACACACACATATACACACACACACATTGGAATATTACTCAGCAATCAAAGAGAATAAAATCATGGCATTTGCAGGTAAACGGATGGAGTTAGAGAAGATAATGCTAAGTGAAATTAGCCAATCCCCAAAAAACCAAATGCTGAATGTTTTCTTTGATATAAAGAGGCTGATTCATAGTGGGATAGGGAGAAAGAGCATGGAAAGAACAGACTAACTCTATAGAGGGCAGAGGGGTTGGAGGGAAAGGGAGGGGGCATGGGGTTATAAATGATGGTTTAATGTGATGATCACTATTATCCAAAATACATGTATGAAGAGACGAATTGGTGTGAATATACTTTGTATACAATCAGAGATATGAAAAATTGTGCTCTATTTGTGTAATAAGAATTGTAATAAGATTCCACTGTCATATATAAATAAAAAAAGTAAAAATAAAGAATGTCTATTGTCAGAAAGACAAAAGAGGATAGTGAGGAAGTGGAGAAAAACGAATCCTTCTATCCTACTGGAGTGGGTAGGGATATAAATTTGTATAGCCATTATGGAAAGCAGTGTGGGAGGTCATCCTCGTATGTGTTTTGAGTTACCTCCCTGGCTGGGTGAGAGGTGTTTAGACACATCTTTGTGTCCAGAGCTTTCCCCACCCTTCTCAGGTCCGAGGGCTTGTCCGTGTGGAGGTGTGTCTGGCCATACCCTGAAGACCCAATCGTTGCACCTGACCTTGGGACACTGCTTCCCTTAATCTTCACTGGATGGGATTTTCTCCAGAATTTTTTGTTCCCCAATAAAAGTCCACTCCCTGGCGTGTTCTCTCTCTCTCTCTCTCTCTCACTAGCCTCTTCAGTAAACCTCGCTACCATAATAGGTAGCTGGAGGCTGGAGCTAGGAGAAGCCATCCTGGAGCTGGTTTAAAGGTAATTAGAGTCTATCTCTTTAATTCAAAACTCCCTAAGGATTTCTCACGTACTGAACCTTCATTTATGAAGCCTGTACTGGTCGCGGCCTAAAAAGCAGTATGTAGGTTTCTCAAAAAATTAAAAATAAAACCTGGTCTTCCATCACACCCTATTCAGTCTTTAAGCATTTACCCATCCTACAAAAATTACCTAACTGTGTTTAGAACTCCTTCATTTTAGTCTGAAGTGCTGCATCTGGAACCTAGTCAATGGGTACTGAATGGGCACTGAATAAAATGGGTACGGAATAAAATTGCTGAACCAGTGGAATCAAGACTTCTGGCTCTCCAGTACACGGCAGCTAAGTTCTTTCCTCCCACTGATCTTCATGTTCTGTGCCAGCTGGCTGTTGACTCATAGTTTAGGAAAGGCAAGCTCCAATGATAATATAAGGATCCTCCTGTTTTACTTCTCAGGGCTGAGCGGCACCTGTGTCAAGGACGGGAGGTCTGCACACCCTGGGCTGCAGGCTCCGCTGTTCTTTGGTGCAGAGTCTGACAGACTCCCCGGGGCATTGTTTGACAGACTTTTGTGGTGTTAGGTCCAGGAATTCCTGTGCCAACTCCTCCGGATGGATTTCACACCAGGTTCCAGGCTCAGAGCTCAGATTTGACCTCTGTCCCTGTTCTGCCTGGTGTTCTGCATCTGAGGCTACAGAGAGGGGCAGAAACAGTAAGGGATCTTGGATCACTGGACTCACTGAGATGGGCTCCCTGCCCTACATCAGGTAACTCATCCCAGCTGCCTATGGGACTGTCCAAGTCTGTGGCCCAACCTGCCCTTCCAGGAGCTGGGGCCTTTCCTCCTGCCTAGTGCTGCTTTCCCATAACCCTGAGTGGTCTTAGTAGAGAGCCTCCTAGACCTTCCCTCACATCCATTCTATCAGTTATGCACAGCTATTCCTGGCCCCAAGCCCTAGGAGCGTTATGTGGACTGAGACATCTTCCTGGTCCTTAACCAGGAGACTCTTCTCATTAACTCCCCTTTCAAGCTTCCTCCCTCCCAGCTCCTTCTTATGCAGAAAGCCCCCTTTCCCTGTGCTGCTGGGGGTCTTTACATTTAATTCAGTACAAGAAAATCCAGGGTTGTGGCTGTAGACAAGGTGCTCCAGTACTGCACCCTGCTTCCTTCCTGGATCCTCCGTATGGAGTGCCCCACCTGAGGTGAAGCCACCTTTCTTCCCTGACTTTGCCTGACCCCCAGTGCTTAACCTTGTCCAGTTTCTGTCTGTCCCCAGCTTCAGTTCTGACTGAGGAGGACTGGGATAACTGGTGATGGGAGAACCTGGGTGGAGCCAGGTGGGGCTGTAGCTCTCTTACCTTAGGCTCCCCTAAGAGAATCCCTGCTTGTGATGAGATTCCTGTAGAGGATCCTAGAGTAACCTTCTGGTCCTTACAGCTTGAGGAGGCCAACACCTTCATGTTGTTACTGTTATATTTTTCTCCCCACAGTTGCTGCCTAGCCTGGAAAGGAATCGTGGGCATCTTTTTCCTGCCAATTATCTTATCAGGTTTTGCTTCTTGCCCTAAACATAAAGATGGAAAAGTGACTTGGTCTTCATGCAGGTTTGCCTGAGTGGGGAACCTGAGTGGGTAACAAGGGAGCTTTATCTCACTGGAGAAAGAAATATGCTTACCATGCACAGGGTAGATCCTGCAAACAGGAGCTTCATTTTCTTGAAGGTTGCAGCAGGCTCTCCTGTCTATCTTCCTTCTTCCTTCCTTCCCCTTTCCATGCAGGTCTAACTGGTCTCATCTGAACCCTCTCACACTGAAGAAACGATCTGAGGGACTTGTTGGAAGGTGTGCACACTTCACCTTGGAGGGTCATAAGTTCCTCATCTTTGGGGGCTCCATCCATTACTTCCGGATGCCCAGAGAGTACTGGAGGGACCGCTTGCTCAAGCTGAAGGCCTGTGGCTTCAACACTGTTACCACGTGAGAGCTGCCCCTCAGCCTCTATCACCAGCTTACCCCATGGGGCTCCTAGAATATGCATCCCGGCTTAGAGCAGAGTCTCTTGTTTTGGAGTGCAGGATCAGGAGCTGTCTCCAGAATAGACATTTAGAGCACATTCTTTTTATGCTTAAATGTCTAGCTGTCAGCTACCATACCATACTTTCCTCAGTGATCAAAGCTTTGGATAGGGGTTAATAGGACAAATGTAAGGGAGTAGATAATTTATCAAGAATTTGATAATTTATTTGATCCCTTGGGAGCACTCAGTTTAATGACATGCTGGATGCATACTTACAGATGAATATACACAGGCTTACAGATTTTAAAAATACCTTCCATTTATGTATGTGGATAAGAATATCTAGAGGAATAGCACCAGTATCACAAAATGAACAAGTAAGAAAATATCAGCATCACTAAGTGAAGTTTAATGGCCTTAAGGGAAAAAAAAAACACTGCAGGGTAATGCCTGAGATGTAGGGATTTAGAGTCAGATACACACGGCCACCAGCACAGTTCTGCCTCCTACTAACCTTCCTATGTCAGGCCCAGAACCCTTCACTGTAAAGACATAAGGTTGTCTCATAAGGTTGTATTGATGATTAAAGGAGATAAAACCTTTATCTTATTTATACAGAAAAAGCCTATCACAATGCCTGGCATGCACATGTCTTCATCAATGGTGGCAGAAAGAAATGCAAACCCAGTTTAGTCAGTTAGAAGAACTGAAATATAAGTGAGCATGAATTCACCATGATTAAACATAGTGATAAAAGGCAGCTTGCGTTTGGTGTGTGCTGATGAGGAGGCATTTTCTATCATACTCATAATCACATGGTCTTCAGGACTGTCTTGAGAGGTGGATAGTACAACTCCCACTGTTCAGGGGAACAGACTGGTCACATTGGGATTAATTAGCTCACTCAGGTTGCTGGGGAATGTGCAGGCAGTGTGGGTGGAGCCCACCTTCCGTATTATGGATAGGTTCCTTCCCAGCATGTCCTGTGGGTGTGCCTAGGTAGCTTTTGAGTATGTATACCCCCTGAAGTTCTACCTGGAGTTCTGCCTGTGCACAGATAACCAGCCAAATGAAAACCACACCCAAACAAAAATCACATTGAATTAACAGACCTATTTCCACCAAATTGTGAAACTCTTAGGTCAGGAGTCAATCATGGTGGGTGAAGAGTGTCCCAAAGAGAAACTTCTCCAGAAGACTGTATTGTTCAGTTTGCATATGTTAGTCAGGGTATATGTTTGTTACGTCAAGAGAACCAGCTCCTGAAGGTCAGAGGGAAGGCAGGGAAGACCACGATTAGGATCATGATTCTGCTGTTTCCAGAAAACTGAATTGCTAATTTCAATAGAGCTGACACTGTCGATTAGGATAGCCAATTTTAGTTATACTTATGTAGTATTTATACACAGCCAGGCATTCTCTAAACCCTGGACAACATTAATTTACTCTGCCCAATAGCAATCATCTATGGTGAGTGGTGGTATTTGTAGATAAGAAAAATCTGGCCAAGGGAGGTTGAGTCACTTTCCCAAAATCACAGTGACTGAGGCATAGATAGTCGTAGCAGAGCTATGCTTTACCTCACTCAAACTGCAAGGACAATGGCTACACCATTTGGCTGCCTCTCATAGTCACAGGCTTTTATTTTTTATTTTTTTTTTGGGGGGGGTACTGGGGAGTGAACTCAGGGGCATTCAACCTCTGAGCCACATCCCCAGTCCTATTTTGTATTTCATTTTATTATTTTTATTTTGTATTTTATTTAGAGACATAGACTTTTAGATATTGAAGATTACACTGTAGAATGTTTATTCCATGTTGTAAAATTTAAATGTTCTTCAAAGGGCATTTTATGATGCACAATACACTTTTATGTTTCTTGATCAAATTTTTGTCATCAACTTCAAAGATCTGTTGTTTGCATGGTTAAGTCATGGAGCTTCTATCAGTTAATATAAGGAAAAATAAAGTCAGTTTTTTTGTTTTTGTTTTTTAGGTGCTAGGATTGAACACAGGACCTTGTACATGTTAGATAAGCACTCTACCCCCCGCCCAAAGGCAGTCCTGAGAATCTCACACTTAGTAAATTGAAAGAGAAAAACCAAAAATGCATTAGCAAAATGCTATGGGGCATATAAAGTCATATTTGTATCAGAATTATATTAATTATGTTAATACCAAAATACGTAATGCTCGATTGACTTCCTGGGTTAATTCTGCATTGACTATTATGGGTTATACTCATGATCTAACAATATTTTAAAAGATATGGTACTGAGTTGTCTTCACACATCCATGCCACTGATCAGCTAGAGTTGGTACTAGAGGGAGAATTTGAAATTGATAGGCTGCAAATTGATAAGTGGTATATCTACTGTGCAAGAAACATCATGAGAAATAATTATTGAGCTTCACTGAGATCTTCTACTGCATCTATCATTTTAGTTTTGTATACTCATCTTTTCAAGCAGTGATATTGTCAGTTTTTCTAAAATTCAATGTAACTTACAGTCCTGGGATGAATTTGATTTACTCATGTTTACCTATAATTGTAAGAGAAATTGATTTGAAATTTTATTTTAGTTAGTATTCTTGTTCAGTTTTGATATCAATCCTATAATTGAGTTCATAAAATGAGTAAATCTTTTTCTACTCATTGATAATATTTTCAAAAGAATTATCTTTGTTCTCAGTGTTTCTTAAAATTCACACATAAAACTCTGTGATCACTATCTTTTATGGTTGTGAGGGTGAGATTCATAGGATCTTGAATTTTTATTAAGTTATTTTCTCTATTTATTATGAGTATATCCTATTTTTCTTAATAAGTGTTTTGCTTTTCTTTTTCTTGGGAGACTTTCTTCTTTCTGACTGGGACTTTGAAAAATCTTCCTTTTTTCCCTGTACTCGCTGCATTGTGTACTTGGGCTACTTAGCAACCTCGTTGGGAGCTGGCTGTCCTTTTGCTAATAATCCTATCTAATTTTTAATTTATTTTCAAACAACTGGCAAGTAGCTTTGTTAATCATCCCTTTTTTTTTTATTTCTATTTCACAATTTCTGAGTTCTGTGTAATTTCCTCTCTCCTACCTTATTTGATTTGGTTCTTTCTCCTCATGTTTTCCTCTCCTTGGATCTCCTTCTCTGTTACTTCATTGTTTCTCTCTTCACCTCTCCTTTTTACTTTTCTTCCTCTTCTTCTTCTTTTCTGACTTGAATATTTAATTCATTTTCCTTCTAGGACTTCTTGTTTTTATAATGGGGCCATTTAGAAATATGAATGCTTTTCCTAAGTATTGCTTTAGTTATATATCCCACAAGTCTTCTTATACTGTACTTTCAAAATCATTTAGTTAAAATATTCATAAGTTTTGTTGAATTTCCCTCCTTGACCCATAAACAATTTGGGAATGTGCTTTCTGCTTTTTTTTTTTTTTTCATTGTGATACTAGGGATTGAACCCAGGGTCTTGTGCATGCAAGACAAGCACATTACCAACAGTACCATCTCTTTTAAAATATATCCCCAGCCATGCTTTCTGTTTTATTTGTTTGTCTTACTTTTTATTATTATTTTAAACTGTCATTTTTATAATTTAGTTACCTTTGTCTTGAGATCATAAACTATGTGACATACACTTCTAGAATTTGGAATCTGTTGACTATTAGGTTTTAAAATATATTTATAAATTCCACATTTTAATCATGATATTGAAATCAATATCCTTATAATTTTTCTACATATTTTCTTTATTTCTTAGGTATTTTAATCCTTTCACTATGACTGTGAAATCAACTTATCCATTTCTTCTCTAATTCAGTCAGCTTCTCCTTTAGTAGAAGCTACTTCATTAAGGGCATAGAAGGTTGAATAGCACATGTTGTGGATGGAATTATTTTTATTTAAGGCCACGCACCTTATCTGTCTGCCATATTGCCTTAAAACCATTTGTATACTATCAGTTTTATTAGTGTAATTTTGCCTTATACATCTTTCTTCATCTTTCTGTTTTCAGCAATTTTCCTTACATCACTTTTAAGTAGCTTTTTGCAATTTTTTATTCTATTCTCACAATAGAGCTATATGCATATAAAAATAGAGTCAATACAAATTTTACACATGTCCTTTGACTCTGCAGGCAGCCCTCTGAGGAAGGACCTTGGCAGAGGCCCTTCTTGCTGCGGTCTAAAGACTGAACCCTACTGAATTGCATTTCCCTTGCCCTCATAGAAACTCCTCATATCTTCTTACTTTGTTTAATTCTTAGCAAGACTATATCAGGCAGATATGCAAATTTTTGTTGTGTTTTTTCTTTTTCTTTATATTTTTAATGGGTATTATAAAGAATGGGGTGGTGAGTGAAATTATATATAAATCTAAGGAATCTAGAATCCAAGGATAATTGATACCTTGAACCACAATTGAGCAATAGAAAAAGGAATTGTTGAAGATAGTCATTGTTCTTGTGATAGAGGTTATTTTCCATCAGAAACTTACACTCACTGAACTATTGCAGGGTTTGACTTGGTTTGGGGCTGATGTAACAACTGGAAAAAATAAATAAGATGCTTATTGTACTTTCCTATTCCTTTCCCAGCTACATTCCATGGAACCTGCATGAGCCAGAAAGAGGCCAATTCTACTTCTCAGGGAACCTGGACATGGAGTATGTATTGCTACTGTTTCTGTGACCTGGCTTGGGGCAGGAAGCAGAGACATGGCTACTTGGGGTTGATTTGGAACTCTAGGGGTATCTTCTCTTTGCTTTGAGGACCAAAGAGGTCCTGAGGTCTGGACCCCTGGTCTCAGGATGCTGTGAGAGGCTCAGCACCCAGGGCCCAATTGCTCCCCAGAAATGACCTATTACCCAGGGACTTGTGGCTATTGGGATCTAGTCCCACTTCTCCACTGCAGCTAAGAGGGACCAAGACTCCTGGCACTGCCCAACTCTGCAATGGTGTTTAGCAACCTCGTTGGGAGCTGGCTGTCCTTTTGATTATCATGTCCATTATTGGAGACAGACCCTCTGTACCATATAGGATGGCTTTTTTTCTTAGGTCCCATGAGGCTGGGTAGATGGTCCTGATGCCCCCAGCTAATGCGAACCCAGCTCCCAGGGCCTCTGGCCTCCCACCTGGTGGACTAATTTCCTGCTTTGCTGGGCTGAACTGGGCTAACTCTTTCTCACTCCAGTGTCCCTAGTTGAGAACAAGGGGAAGAGTGTGCAACTTGTTATGTGTATGGGCTTCTACCCAGGCAGCCTCCTCTCTGCACTGCCATGAGAGGATCTGACTTTGTTTACCTTCCTAGAGCCTTTGTCCTGTTGGCTGCAAAGGTTGGGCTGTGGGTGATTCTGCGTCCAGGACCCTACATCTGTGCAGAGGTTGACCTTGGGGGCTTGCCCAGGTGAGCGGGACTCTGAGTCCAAGAGCTATAATTTAATAATGTGTTTTAATTCATGAAAAATAACACTTCAGTCAGATGATAACGAAATTCACCTTCATGGACTGAGCAAGTGTTTTTTTAAATTTTTCACTGTGCCATGTACTTCATATCCTGTCCTGTGAAGCCTGCAGTGGTGTGGGGGAGTTGTGGGCACTACTGTCATCCCATTTCACAGGTGAAGCAGATATGGGTCCTGGTAATGGACAATAAGAGGTAAGAGGGAGCAGCAGTTCTTGGGATTCTAATCCCACAGAGGAGGAGCTGAGGCCACCTCTGTTCTTCTTATTGGATGGGAGGGAAGGGACCAGAAGCTTTAGAACAGAGAAAGTTCTGACAACCGCTGAGCTTCTTCTGGCAAACTCAGATCTTACTCTCTTTTGTTGAGGTCAGGCCACCTTCTCCACCCATAAAGAACTCAGCCTATTTACCAGCCTTTTCTATTTCCTTGGCTTTTATTGCTGTGATGCTGACTTTCTGCCCAGATTGCTCAGTCTCAGAGTAAGAATCCAGGAATCCTCTTCTGTAATCCCTCTGAACTGACAGGTCCCAGTCCCATCTTGGATCTGTCTTTGGTTGATTAGTTATTCCCCAGGTGAGATAAAGGCTTTGCTTTATCCCAGATGAACACCTTCCTTTCAATGCAGGAGAAACAGCCTTCTTTTCTTTCTATGGGTGTACTGTAGTTATATATAACAGAATTTATTGCTATGTATTCATTGTTACATATTCATCATTAGGTCAGTTTTACTCTTTAATACCTCCCTTTTCCTCTCCTCTTACCTTCCCCAGTCTCTCTTTATTCTATGTGTCTCATTTCTATTTTCATGAGATCCTCCTTATAAGTGTATAGCCTCGCCAATGTATATTATTGTTTGTAATCTTGATGACTACCATTCTAACCAGAGTAAGATGAAATCTCAGTTTTAATTTTGATATGTATTTACCCTGTTGCTAAAGATGTTGAACATTTTTAGCCATTTGTGTTAGCCATTTGTGTTTCTTCTTTTGAGAAATGTCTGTTTACTTCTTTTGCCTAAATTATTGGTTGGGTTATTTGCTTTTTTGGCATTGAGTGTTTTTGAGTTCTTTACCTATTCTGGATATTAATCCCCTGTCTGAGGAGTAGCTGGCAAAGATTTTTCCCCCATTTTGTAGGCTGCTATAACTTCACGCTCTTAATAATTTTTTTTTTGCTGTGCATAATCTTTTGAATTTATGGCATCTCACTTATTGATTCTTGGTTTTACTTCTTGAACTGTAGGGATCTTGTTGAGGAAGTTGGTGCCTGCACCTATATGATGGAATGTTGACCCTATGTTTTCTTCCAGCAGTTGCAAGATTTCTGGTATAATTCGTAACCCCTTTGATCCATTTTGATTGACTTTTGTGTAGGGTGAAACACTGGAACTATTTTCATTCTCCTACATATGGATATCCAGTTTTTCCTATGCCATTTGTTTAAAGGGCTGTCTTTTTTCCATGATATATTTTGGGCATCTTTGGCTATTATCAGACGACTATATCTGAGTGGGTTTGTATGTATGTCTTCTATTCCATTGGTTCCATGTGTCTTTTTTTTTTTGCCAGTATTATACTGCTTTTGTAAGTATAGCTCTGTAGAATAATTTAAAATCAGGTATAATGCCTTCAATATTGCTTTTTTTAATACTTAGAATTACTTTTGCTATCTGGGTCTTTTATTCTTCTATATGAATATTAAGAATGTTTTTTTCTTGTCCTGTGAAAAAGGCCATTGAACATTCTTGCTCTGTCTTCCACTTGAGCTTTTGGGGGATATCTCATATCTAAACCATAACATGGAGGTTTTGAACCTTAGAAATATAGGATTATATCATCAGTAAACAGTGAAAATTTGTCTTCTTCCTTTCCTATTATTGTTCCTTTTATTTTATTCTCTTGCTTAATTGCTCTGGCTAAAATTTTATGTACTATGTTGAATAGGAGAGAGGACATCCTTCTATTGTGCCCAATTTTAGGGATAATGCTTTCAGTTTTTCCCTATGCATTGTTAGGTTAGCTTTGAGTTTGCCATATATAGCTTTTATGATGTTGAGGTAAATTCCTTTTGTCCCTAGTTTCTTCAGTGTTTTTATTATGAATGAGAGCTAAATTTTGTGGAAGACTTTTTTTGCATCTATTGAGATGATTATGTAATTTTTGTAAGGATAGTTTGATATATGAAAATCATTAAAGTAAGTGGGAATTTCAGGGAAACAATTACTCCCATTATAGGTCAGATGGTAGCCTGGCCCTGTCTTCTGTAACCTGTAGTGGGGTTTTCCTGGCTTCATGGTTCTACTGTGTTCTTCAAGTATCAGGTTGTTGTAGGGGACAGATGAGACAAGGCACTGAAGATAGCAGGAAATAGTTTTATTTGGCTGCAGCCAGGCTCAGAGGATATAGCTTCTACTGTAATCAATTAATCCCCTGAACCCCGAGTTCAGGTAGTCACAGAATTTTATACCCAGTGTGTGAGGGGAGGGGCTTAGAAGTTCACAGTCTGCAGAAGTTCACATAAAAGCAGATTTTTCTTTCACTGTTTTGGGGCAAGTTAACCCTTCAAGGACAGCTCCTGAGAAGGGGAGAGCTTCTTCTCCCCTTCCTTTCCTCCCCCTGATAGCTGTTACCATAGAGCCCAACTGGTAACTTCTCTTATCTTAGAAATGTAGACTTCTCTGTGAAGCTCCAGCTCAAGGCCAGAGGCCTTGTTAAAGTATTTGTCTTTTTATTATCACAGTTTGCATTTGAAAACACATTTCTACAAACTATCTATACTGGATAAATGTTTGTGAAAAACTAGTAAAGGGGTGTCAGCACCTGGGGTGCTGATTTCTTCTAGGCCAGTGGCCAAGTAATAAAGCAGCAGGAAAATAAATTTACGTACATTGAACTCTTTTGTAAAGACTCTTTATGTTGATAGTCCTATAATTAATTAAGGTGAAGATTTCTGGAGAAGCTTAGTTAAGATTTTTTGTGGAGGAGGGGGTGCCACTAGAAGATCTCATCTGTGACCTTATGTGACCTTATGCCTGAGGAGCAGAAGCTGTGCTCAATGTTCTCAGCGTACTGAAATAGAATAGAGAAGATTCAAGGAATTCTTAAAAACAATCAAACACACAGGACGTGGGTGTAGAAGTCTGGGTAGGCTCAGTCCCTTCATCTGATGAAATGGAGCGCAAAGCACTTCCAAGGTCTAGAGTGCCTTGGGAAGTGTGTAGTGTGTTTCCTTCTCATCCTTACAAATCTGGTGCATGGTGTGAAAAGTTCACAGATTCCTCTGACCTTCCTGTCTCATACTAACCTGTCCCTTCTTGTCCCCAGCTGGCTTCTGCAAGACCCCAACATGAAACTGAGAACAACAGACAAAGGCTTTGTTGAAGCAGTTGATAAGTATTTTGATCACCTGATTCCCAGAGTGATTCCTCTCCAGGTAAAGCCCCTGACCTTTTCTTCTGACACTGACTTTGGGGAAAGAGTGTTTTGGCTCAGTCACCAGCCAAATAGGTCATGTCCAGCCTCTATGAGAAATACAGGTGACTTTCTTATAACTTTGACTTTTGTACCCTCATGTCAAGCATAGAAATTTTGACTTGTCTTATTAGACCAGGATGTAAAGAAAAGACCACTGACTCCAATTAAAATCAAATTAAAGCAAGCTTATTATTTCAACAGGCCGGGCTTCCTCTCCCAACAAAAACCGCCGGAGCCAAAGACAGCCCCGCAACTTTTTAGAAGCGCAGCTTTATAGCCCAGAAAGTTACACAAAGGGGAGTTACAGATAACAAAACTCTGATGAGCATAACACAAAGGCTAGTTTATATTTTTGCTGGCCCCGACATCAGAATTTATGAAGATCATTAGAGCCTCAGAGAGAGTTGTTATCTGGTCAGGGAAAGCCAAGCATGGGTGAGTTCAAGGCACGGCAGGCATTCCAAGCAAGTTCAGAATTTTCAGTAATTTATAGTAAAGCCGAAATTAGCTTTTTATGCTTTTGTGGACAAATGGCTCCCAATTTTAAGAGGGAATCAGACTGGGTTTATCAGTCTTTGTGGCTTTGTCCAGAGCTTCCATAAAGACCTCCATGACAGAAGACAGGGACCCCAAAAAGGGTTATCATAGTTGTATCTGTGAGCTCAATATTCACTAAGCTTACTGATCTGAATTTCCTATTTCTACTCTTTTGTTTACAATCATCAGTACAAACAGCTGGTAAAAAATTCTCAAAGGGTACAAAATAACTATGATAAATAAAATTCTCCCCCTTCAACATGTCCAAAAGCCATTTAGTTTTTTTTCCTAGGAGACAACTAATTTTACCATGCTCTTGTGTATCTTCCCAGAGATTTTCAATGCATGCAGAAAAAAAAATGCACATATACAGAGATGTGTCTATGTATATCCTTTTCTTTAAATAAAAATATAGTTTCCAGTGGACAGTTTTCCTTTATCACTTAAATTACCTGCCCTGCCTCCCACCTCCATACTCCGGATCAAACCACAAGCAAGGCCAGTGCTCTACTACTGAACTGCATCCCTAGTATTTTCATTTTATTTTGAAAGAAGGTCTTTCTAAGTTATCCAGGCTAGCCTCAATTTGTGATTTTGTTGCCTCAGCCTCCTGAGTAGCTGGAATTGCAAGTCTTAACCACCTTGCCTGAATAAAACAATGTTTTTGAAATCTGTCATTCTTTTTTTTCTCTTTTGTAGTGTTGGGAATTGAACGTAGGGCCTCACATATGCTAGACAAGGGTCCAACCCCAGCCTACTGTCCTTATTTTAAATAGTTCTATAGTACTCCATAGCAGAATATGCCATAATTCATTTAGTTAGTGCCCTACTCATGGATATTATAATCTTCCCAGTTTACATGATAATAAATAAATTGGTTTAGATATTGTTTTGTATTTGTATAATATAGCTGCTATTGCCTACATTCAAGTTTGATTTAGTTACAGAAGTGAGAAAAACAATGGCATTTTCCTTCAACATGTGGTACCTTGTCCTGATGCACCAGCAAGAAATGCTCATTCTCAGAACGTTAATTTATAGCTCACAGACTAGTCTATGACAAAAAAGTGCTGTATACTATGCAGTCTGCAGTACAACAATTGTTTGATTTTTGTGGTTTCAGAAGTAAAATACATCTGCATTTTCAGAAGATGTGAATAACTATAAATCTTAGTTTAAGAGACCATCTTTTTATGTAACCCAAGATGGTATAACCACCAGGATTCTTAGATAGTAGACTGAATTATATTAGACTCTTCTGTTTGGGGGAAACAAGACAGGGCTATAGATCCAGCCCTATGTAATTAATTCTGAATCATGGATTGTGAGTTATTCTTAATAAGATATTTATGGAGAGAAGAGTCAAAAGTTTAAAAAGGAAAGGAAAAGGATAGGTACACTGGGAATGAGATTTCTGCAATAAAGCATTAGGAGAGATGGCAATTTTGAGGGGAAGGAACCCTGTCTTTAGGGGTGAACTCTGAGTCTAGTGGTAGGGGTCTTCTTTTGTAAGAAGGCCTGTTTGTGATGGTTTTCACAAGTTTCTGATGGTTTCATTCCTGCAATCTAGGGAAGATCAGTGACAATCTTTGAGTCTTCAAATTAGAAAAACTTTGACTATTTGGATGGGAGTATAAGTACAATGCCACTTAGTGTTTGTATGTGTTCATCAAGCAGAACAAATTTGGGATAAATGTCCCATTGAAATTATGAGAGTAGAAAATCCTACTAGGAAATTAATGGGAAGCAAGGAATTCTTAAATGAATTCTAAAATGAAATGCATAAGGCTTTACATTGCTTAATTATTTGTATTTTAAAATCATTGTATTTAATTGACTGGTTTCATTGTTTTAATTATTATATCAATAGCTTCTTGAGCGCATTTACTGACTTACTTATGACTTTTTTAAAGTTTTTTTTTAAATTTTATGATGTTAAGGTGGATTCTCTTACAATGGAATTTTTAGAAATCTCATGGTTTCAGCTGGGGAGAAGGTACTACTCGATAATGAGAATAATTGTTCTATATTTCTTAGTTCAGAATATTTATGCCTCTTAAGTACTGAGCAGCAAGGCACCCTGTGGTTTTTTGGGAGGTTGCCAGGTCCTGAGCAGGAGCCATGGTTTCAGTCCACAGTGGGAAGACATTGTCCCTGCCCTTTGGAGATTATAGTCCTAAAACAAGACAAACAGGCAACACAATAAGGATTATAGTGGTGATGTGAAGGAGGCACAGGAACCCCCTAACAGGCAGGGCGTACTAGTAAGGTCTTTCTGAAAAAGGGAGGTTCAGAGCATGTTTTCCTGAACAATTTATATTTGAATAGTGACCTGCAAAATGAAAGCCATTAGCCAGGCCAGGACAATGGTCCTGAGACCCCATAGTGTATGGATGGCAGGAATAGAATGAGGAATATGAAGAACTATAAGTGTTTGGGGCAGTGTGAGGAGGGAACAAGGCCAAAGCAGTCCATCAAGGAACCTACCAAGTATGTTCATTCTCCCTTGTGCCCACTAGGAGCAGCATCCTCATGTCCAAAAAGGAGCATTTATTCTACATCTTACATTTACCGTGTGGGCAATAGGGACTACGATGTTCCTTTTCACTGGGAGTGAAGACATATGTTTTCTCTCCAGAGCTTGCTTTGTTTTCAGTGTGGGCAAGATCAAAAAGAAGAAAATGCAGCTGAGTTTGGAAAGACAGTAAATAGTAAAATCCTGAAAAGTGCTTTGATGTAACATGACTAGGTCAATATTTAGGTGACACAAAGAGCTAAAAGCTTTATTGGGCTGGTTTGAGGACTGAGCTAAAATTGAGAAGCAGAGAAGGTGAGTGTTGGCATCTAGGGACCCTTTCAGGATGTGTGGCTCTTAAAGGGCAAAGAGTGAGAGAACTGGTTGGAGGGGACCATTCCTATACCCTCTCTATCTATCTGATGTGGGAGGTCCTAGACAGGTTTCTATGATGATTGAGGTCAGTTAGTTTGTAAGTAAAAGGGGGAGGTCACAAGGGAGAGGGAGTTATGCCATAAAGCAACATTCCAAAGCAGGTGGTAGATGGGAGTGGGATGCACACATAAAGCATTAGAAGAGATGGCAATCCTGAAGGGAAGGAACCCTGTCTTTAGGGGTGAACTCTGAGTCTAGTGGGAGGGGTCTTCTTTTGTAAGAAGGCCTGTTAGGACAGGAAGAAGGAGGGATGCCTTTCTCATATCAGATAGGAAAATAGATGTGGTATATGTAGAAATAGGTGATTTGACAGTTAATATTCAAGTAGCATATTAATATGGGAAATAGAGGGTAACTATGGCTTGCTCATCTCCAAAGCACTAGGGCAGGTAGGACTCCTGAAATATACCAACTTAAGCTCTGGGAAGGAGAGAGCCACATGCAAAGAATCCTGGCTCCCAGCATGCTGATCAGCTGAGTGGTCATCAGCAGCAAACCAGACTCCAGGCTTTTGCCCCAGTAGCCTCACTTTTCAACTTGTATCCTAGTACCACCGTGGAGGCCCTGTCATTGCAGTGCAAATAGAGAATGAATACGGTTCATTTAATAAGGACAAAGACTACATGTCTTATGTAAAGGAGGTAAGACACTTGGTTATCTCCATATTACTTGTCTCCTTGCTCAATCTGTGTCTTCTCCAGCATGCAAGTCTTATTCCCTGCTACATGGGTCACTGCTAGGCTCTGTCCATTATGAGCACATGTTAAGTTCAGGTTCAAATTCTCTGTGAATATTCAGTATTCTTAAGGCAATCAAGATGAACTTAAATAACTTTGTGATGAAACCAATCACCATGTTTTGAAGGTAATTCCTTTCTGTTTACAATCTCTATGACCCTCTTGAAAGCTGGAGGCTGGTAAACTTACATTCATAGTAAATCAATAACTTGGTGATAATGGCTATCAACTTGCAGTTTTCTGGCCCTTCTTCTGTTCTTTTTGCTCCTCCATGGGTAGATTTCTCAGGCAGTGATGAACTAAAGTCCTGTCTGGTGTCTTTTTGGTTGCCTCAGGCCCCTCCTATCCCTGGATTCCTACATTCAAGAAGCTGATAAGGGTCACTCTAAATTGGACTCTGTCCTCAGGGTGCCAAACAGTATGTAGGGCCACATGATGTAAGCTGACCCATCCAGACTAGTTCCTCCTGGTTATCTCTGTCCACACAGAGACATTGTGTGAATGGCCTGGAGATGATAGGAATTGTTTGCTAGCCTGGGAAGGGGAGGAAAGGAGGGCAGGACTTCTTCTACCTTATCTCAGACCCAGAGCTATAGAGTTGGCTTACCATGGACTGAACCTCTGAAACTATAAGCCAAAATAATTTTTTTCTTTTCTAAATTGTTCTTGTCAGATTTTTTTTGGCCACAGCAACAAAAAAAGCTGACAAAAATAGGGTCTGTGAATAATTACATTTCCTAAGTTGTAGATGGTCAGACTCTGAACTTAAACACTTTTTTTTTCTTACATTTTCATTGATGTATTACAGTGGTACTGATGGAATTTGTTGTTGCATATTTGTACATGTACACAATATCCAATATAATAATATAATTTGGCTAGTATCACTCCCCAGTACTTTTCCCCCTTTTCCCTATGCCCCACAGCTTGGTGCCTTTCCTCTATTGATCTCCCTTTGATTTTTATGAGATCCATCCCCATCTTTCTTTTCCTTTTCCTCGTTAGCTTCCACATATGAGAGAAAGCATATAATCCTTATGAAGTCAAAATACTTTAAAATTTGCCAGCTTTCTGTTACTGTAAATGAATGAATACTTGAGATAATCAACTTACAAGCAAAAAGGGTTTATTTTGGCTCATAGTTTTGGAGGTTTTAGTTCATGATTTGTTGACCTCACTGCTATTGGACCTGTTTTCAGGCAGCACATCATAGTGGAGTGTATGCCAGAAAAAAACACTCACCTCACAATTTCTTTTGGGGCTGCACCCCCAGTGTTGTAAAAATCTCTCATTAAGCCCCACCTATTAAATTTCTCACCATCTCTCAATTGCTTCTTGCTGTGGACCAAGACTTTACACAGCCTTTGGGGGACACTCCAGATCCAAAAGATGACACTTTTTTTGTAGGTCATACTCTTCCCATCTGAGTACAATTGCCTTTATTTCCTAATTTCCTTATTTATCCTAACCATAGGAGTGAGGGAAGTGGGTTCATTTTGTTCATTTTTTTCTCAACAGGCCTTGCTGAAAAGAGGGATTGTTGAGCTGCTCTTGACCTCTGATAATGAGAAGGAAATTGAGCAAGGTTCTGTCGAAGGAGGTACAAATTTAGAGTTATTTCAAAGTAGAACTCAGAGATGCTTAATAGCCAATGTAAATTGTCAACTAGCCTCAGAAAGAACCAAGTGTATCTTTGGTGCCTTTTTTCCCCCATATGCATTGAGACTGATCCCAGAGATTTGATTACAAATGTGGCTTCTTTAAACAGCAGTAATGAAATTCCTCTTCATGAGGGCACTTTGCCATTTTTCATGACTTCTGTGGCTAGGAATCTGGGTTGATATGACTCAGCATCCAGGACATCCCCACCAAGATGTAAAATTGGTGGGGAACCAAAGGATGGATGTGTATGGAACCTGGCATAGACAAAAGTTCCAGTTCTGAGAGTCTATAGCTTCAGGTTTGGTTTAGAAACTTAGCAGATCCCAGAGAATGAACTACCAGGACAATTCAAAGCAAAATCACAAGGTTACAATAGTGAGGGGAATGGCCAATTTATGAGCAAGTAGGTAGGTTCAGGGAACATTTTGTCAGATGATCTTTAAAGCAGACTTGCAGCTGTTGTGAACTGCTATCTTCTTTTTAGTGGCTCTTCCCACTTTATTATGGTGCCCTGGAAAGTATGCTGAGCCTGAGACCAGATAATCTGCGTTCAGTTTTTAGATCAAGTTTTTAACTTTGGACTGTGTCTTCACACAAATGTGGCTAAGTTTAACTGTTCTTCTCTGTAATGATGTTTATCGTTGCCAATGGTCATGATAGCACTTTGTGATTTGCAGAGTGAACTACAGCAATGTCTCATAATCCTTTCTACTCAGTGTGACTCTTGCCATGTGCAAGGTGGACCTCCATCCCTTCCCTCAGGGCTCTTGTCACAATGCCTCAGTGGTCTATCTCTTCTCTCTACAGCACTGACCACTGTCAATATGGATTCGTTTAATGAGAAGTTCTTTTCTAGGTTTCGTCAAATGCAGGTAAGACAGCCTAGAGATGAATTTAACCCTTTCTCTTGCTATAACCTCTTGAACCTGTGCAACTGGTGATCAGTGAACAGGTGATCAAGGGGGTTTGATAAGAAGACTGCCTGTCTTTACTCTGGGCACTGGTAGCATTCAAAGCCATGTTGGGAGCATGTTTGCCTTCCGGGGTAGGGAACGAGGAAGAAACCATGCTTGTATCACTTTCTGTTCATAGAACATGTTCATGGAGATGACTCTGAGAAGGATGAGAGGCTTATATCAGGAAACACCTAAGTAAGGATCAGCGGGAGCTGATATTCTCTTTCTTATATGAGTAAAGATCATGGAAATGGGCTATATGTATTTCTTATGAAGAACACATGATTTTTTTTTTGGTTTGGTTTAGGCTTTTTCAGCTAACCAGTACAAATTATGGAACAGAGTGAGAATTTTATGCAAATATTTAATAAACACAGAGTAAGCAGGTCCTTTCCTCCCAGAGGGTAACCTCCTGTGATAGATACATAGATAGACAGAGCACAGTCCATGCCTCCAAGGAAGGGTGTCCTTTCTCAGTACCACTAGGGTGTGTTTGTCATAACCAAGCATGGTTGTGGTCCCTGCAGAACTGGCTTCCCTGATTTCCTTTCACCCTGGGGTCACATCTGCACCCCCTGTGGTGGCCTGCAAGACCTGGTATGATGTTACCCTCTCCTCCTTTCTATCCCCTGTCCACTCTTCTGGCCCTGAGGTAGGAAGTCCTCACTACCATTTCTGCTCATTGGTCTCCCATAGCATTGGCTTGAGGGCCCTCTCTCCAGTACTAGTCTCTTCTCCACAAGTAGTCATTCTTGCAATTAAAGAACCAATCAAATTTCCTTTTCTCATCAATTTTCACACAGTTCTCCATAACAAAGGTTAATCATCAGATCAGAATAATTAGCGTTTCATCTCCTTATCATTTCTTTGTGTTTGGGGAATTCAAACTTCTGTCTTGTAGTTTTCATAAAGGAGTATTGTAAACTGCATTAAACCTACCATGCCATGGAACATTAGAACTCATTCTTCTTATCTAACTGGATTTTGGTACCTGTTATTCAGCCTTCTCCTAGCTCCTTATGCCCTACTTTTCCTAACCTCTAAAAATCACTATTCTATTCTTTGAAATCAACAATTTTTAGCAATAAGGCATTTTAAAAATTGAGACATATTATTTGTACATTTTAATGAGATTTATTATGATAATTCAATGCATGTGTATAATATGTAATGAACAAATCAGGGTAATAAGAACTTTTGTCTTCTGGAATGTTAATCATGTTTAGGTTTTAGAAATTTTGTACTCTTCTAGTTATTTTGAAATATATTATAGGTTGTCATAACCAATAGTTACTACACTGTGCCATAGAAAAACCAGAACTAATTCCTCCCCTCTGTGTTTTGGTGCCCATTTCTTTCCACCTTCCTTTCTCCCTGCCATCCCAGTCTCCAGTGTCCTCTATTCCATTCTGTTCTTCTATGAGATCCACTTTCTAGTTTCCACAAACTAGTGAGAAGATGTGGTATTTCTTTCTGTGTCTGGCTTTTCACTTGATATGATAGATCCAATTCCACCCATGCCGTAACTTCCGTACTGTTTTACTAATTTACGTTCCTGCTAACATTGTATATGAATTCCTCTTTGTCTTCATCCTCACTAGCACTTGTTCTCTTTTTTTTATCGTTTTGAATAGTCATTCTAACTATGGTAATATGCTATTTCATTATAGTTTTGATTTGCATTTCTTTGGTATTTAGTGATATTCAATATTTTTCATATACTTGTTTACTATTAGTATATCTTGAGAAATGTCTATTTAGATATTTATTTATGCCCAGTTTTTAATAGAATTATTTATTTGTTTACTTTTGTATCACTTTTGAGTTGTGAATTTTTTTATATATTCTGGAAATTAGACCCTTGTTGGATGAGTTTGAAAATATTTTATCTCATTTGGCAGGTATTGATTGTTCCCATTGCTATGAAAAAGCTTCTAAATTTGATAAAATTTCATTTGTCTATTTTGATTTTGTTGCCTGTGCCTTTGAGGTTTTATTTTAAAAATGTCCTTGCCTACACTGGTTTCTTGAAGTGTTTCCCTGGGTATTTTTTTGAATAGTTTTATAATTTCAGTTCTTAAGCTTTTGGTGTGTTGCCAGTTGAGTTTTGCATATGGTGAAGACAAAGGAGTCTAATTTCATTCTTCTGCATATTGAATATCCAGTTTTCCCAGCATCATTTATTGAAAGACTATCCTTTCTAACTATGTGTTTGTGGCAATTTATTGAAGGTCAGTTGGTTGTAGATATGTGGATTTATTTATGCCTCCTCTTTTCTGTTCCATATGGAACAGTGTCAGTGTTTTAGTCTCTATGCTCGTTAACTGGTTACATAGTTTTGTGGTATGTTTCAAAGCCAGGTATTGTGCTTCCTCCAATTTTGTTCTTTGGCTCAATATTGCTTTTATACTAGTAAAAGGGTCTTTTGTAGTCCCATATGGATATTAAGATTTCTTCATGTGAAGAATGTCATTAATATCCTTCTGGGAATTTGATGGAATCTGTAGGTTGTTTTGTATAACGTGGACATCTTAACTACTAATTCTTCTAATTCATGAACATGGGTTCTGTTCATTTCTATGTGACCTCTTCAATGTCTTTCATCAGTGTTTTATAATTTTCATTATAGAGTTTATTCACTCCCTCCATTAAATTTATTTCAATGTATTTTTATTTTATTGTTTCTTTTGTAGCAATCATGACTGGATTTGCTTTCTTGATCTTTTGTCAGCTATTTTGTTATTGTATATAAGTGGCACTAATTTTTGTATATTAATTTTGGGTCAACTTTAGTAAATTTTTAACTGCTTTACCAGTTTTTCATGTGGTTTATATAGATGTAAAATTATGTTGTCAGCAAACAGGAATAATCTGACTTCCTCCATCCCATCTTAAATATCCTTTATTTTTATATGTTGCCAAATTGCTCTAAGTCAGTATAGTGTTTAATACAAATAGTGAAGGTGGACGTCTCTTTCTTTTCTTTTCTAGGATCTTAGATGACACACTTGCAAATTTTGCTGTTCAGTATAACATTGGCTGTGATTTTATCATATATATAGTCTTGATTGTGTTGTGACACAAATACCAGAAGTTTTGAGAAATGTACTATTTTAGTGTGTTTTCTTCTAGTTTTGGGTAGCCAATCATTTTCAATCTATAGGCAGCATAGTGTAATGGGTAAGAGAATGTTTCTGAAGTTGAACTGGCAAATTCAAATTCCAGTTGAGTGAGCTTTGACGGGTTAATTAACCTCAATTTCTTCATTTGTGAAATGGGGACTGAACACATCTCCTTTTGGGGGTTATTACACAGGAAAAAAGAAATAAATTACTTTAGTCAGTGTGCAGTACATAGTAAAAGTTCAATAATTACTATTGTATTGTGGTAATTATTTTACATAAATAAAGAGTATAATCCATAGAGATGTGCAAACATTTATGAATTCCTTTTTATATTTATTTATTTATTTATTCAATACTGGGGTTTGGACCCAGGATATTGAGCATGCTATGTAAATGCTCTAACGCAAAGCTACATTCTTAGCCCTTTAAAAAAATTGTGATAGGTGTTGCTTGCAAAGGCTGATCTCAACTTGCAATCCTCCTGCCTCAGCCTTCCAGAGTACCGAGGATTACAGATGTGATCCGTTATGCTCAGCTCATTTATGAATTCTCGTATACTGAATTGTTTATTGGCATAAACATACAAAATACAAACTATTAGAAATTAAGAAATAAAGAGAACTTTGGCACAGGCCTATAATCCCAGCTACTTATGAGGTTGAGGCAGGAGGCTTGTGAGCTTGAGGCTCAGCAACTTAGCAAGACTCTGTCTCAAAGTAAAGAATAAAAAGGTTTGGGATATAGTTCAGTGGTAGGGCATCCCTGGGTTAAATCCCCTGTACCAAACACACACACACGAAAAGTATGAGGATGAGCATAATAACAATGGACACTTCCACACAAGAGTGGTATGGATTGAAATAAGGGCAAATAGAAAGTGAAAATGCAGACAGGATAATTTAGTTCTGGTGGTTAGGGTTAGAGCCGGAGTTAAATGGTGGCTCTAAGAGCTGTGTGATCTCTAAGCCTCAGTTTCAGACAGTCAGTAATTGTATTCAGATCCTTGTGTATCTAAAATAAATTCTCTGAATACCAGCCTTGCATAAGACCAGGTTGACTTTACTGATGCTACCCTAGGAATAGCAGGGAGGCACATGAAACTAGAGGAAGCCAAGAGACCCTGGGCACTTAGGAAGAGTGGAGGATCTAAAGCTGTGGAGGATGAAGGTATAATGTGTAAGGGGTAATGACGTTTGGATCACAAAGGGAGCTCTGACTTGGGAAAAAAGTGTAAACATAAGATCCTCAAATTCCCATCTATTGTATGCAGGTTTTTTGGCCATTCTTGTTTTGTTTTTTATCAGACTTAGTATTTGCCTTTGTTTGTTCCTAGAGAAATAAGCCCATTCTGGTTATGGAATATTGGACTGGCTGGTTCGACAATTGGGGAAGGAAACATCATGTTAAAAGTGTGGATGGTAAGTGTTTTGCAGTTTTCAACTCCAAGTTCAGATGGCCTTGAGTCATGGATACTGATATTATTCTCTGCTAATCTAGAACTGTTACCAGAGGTGGTATTGGGAATCTGGAGGCTGCAATGTGTTTCTTGGCTCTTGTGTTCTTGTAGGGGAAAATTTCAGGCAAGATATGAAATATAATAAAAATATAGCAGAATTAATTAGGAAAGAAATAATTCTCTAAAGGGAGGGAAAGAGAGATGGGTTGTCTCTACTAAAAGGAGAGAGTGATGTTGTGCCCACTTTGTTCCCCAGTTTTATTGAGTCTTTGGAAAGTTTCTGAATTGTCCCACCCAATCACCACCTCTCAATTTTTGACAGTAGAATAGTATCAGATTTTTAAGTCCCCAGAGCACATGGTTTTACCCATAGGTACCTAAGCAAAACCCACTTGTGGCGGGGTGGGGAAGGTGGCAGGAATAATGACCTGCTAAAGATCTAAAGGCAACTTTTGGTTTTCTTGGCCTATGCTGACCAGTTCTAACTGGAACTTGTTCTTACATATTCTGTGGTCATGGGCTTTTCTTTTAAATTATTCTGTTTTTCTGGGTCTTGGAATCTTTGGTCTGTATAAAGGTCACATACCCCCCTGGCCAAGGTAATTTGCATTCTTACCAGCAGGGAGGATCTTAAATTCCTCAGCCCAGAGAATAGCCCTAAGGAAAACAGGTTGTTTGTCAAAGGATATAACATCCTATTGACTTAAGCCAGAGTAGAGCCAAAATGGAGTTAGGTAAATTACACTTTGGGTAAGTTGCTTTTTGAAAGAAAGTCTTTGGGTCTTTGTGTAGACTCAGTTTATAGAATTATCCCCTTAATTTCGTGTTTCTACTGATCATGTCTATATGCTACCTATCCAAGTTTATGTATATATATATATATATATATATATATATATATATTTCCATATGAAAATTATAAAAATATATTTATGTTTTTAAGTGCTATAATCAGTCACCTACTACTTTTCTCTAAAGAATAGAGCTCTAAAACACATTATTTTCTTCAAAAGTTACCATATATGTTATATTTCTTGCTCAATTTAAGTTTTTATATGTGTCTCACATCTGGGAAGATGAGACTTAAAGGGTTAACCTGCTCATTTAGTCACATAAAATCATTGAACTTCTACCATGTATACACTTATCCAGCCTCTGAAGATACATTGTTGAATAAAAATTACGTGATTTCTACCCTGCAATAAGCCTATAATTTAGTGGAATCAGCAGATCATTAGAAAGCAAATCAATATATAAGTCCACATTCAGCAGGTACTCTAAAACAAACGAATGTGCAATATTATTGTGTTTCTATGCAGTGCCTCCAGAGACACTATCCTAGAAGGTGGGAATGAAGGCACACTAATTTTTTTATAAAATTAAAAAATGAAAAGAATAAAAAGTAGGTACTTATGTACCTTAAGGGTTTTTGATACTTTTGTAAATTACAGTCAAATTATGTCAGTGCTGTGGGGTAAAAATTTTCAAAACTGCTCTTGGTCCTGGCAAGATTTAGTTTCTTAAAGTAGTTCTGACTGATTCTATCACTTCCTGGTTGGAATTTTAGTGGAGGTTTGATGAAAAAATAATTAACTGATTGTGTTTGAAATAATAGTTTTTACCCAAGACTACTTTCTTTCCTTAATTACTAATTTTCTGTATGTTTTCCACTTCCCCCTTTACAGAAGTTGAACAAACTGTGTCTGAACTTATCAACCGTGAGATCTCCTTCAACGCATATATGTTCCATGGTGGAACCAACTTTGGTTTCATTAATGGAGCTGTATATTTTGGGATGCACAGAGGCGTTGTGACTAGCTATGGCAGGTGTTGGTGGGTGTGGTCACCTTCCCAGTTAGGGTATTGCTGGAGCTTTAGGGAGGAGACTCTAGAATCATATTTTAACATCACGGGGTTTTGACCTATAATCTCTGCTGAACATTTATTTTCTTATCTGCTTTCTTTTCTTCTGTGATGTTTTTAACTCTCCAGCAGGCTGTCATTTCAGGAGACAGGGCTTCGTGGCACTTTGAGCTCTGCCTCATTTGTGTTGTCCACTGACTCTGTGACCAGAACCTCTAGAAGAGACAGGACACAAACTATGATTGCTATCAAGCACAGCTGGGCACAGCTGGAAAAATCCAGATTGAGGAGTGAACAGAGTCTCCATCAGAAAGTAAAATGCCCAGGGTGGGCTCAGTGTTATGGGAGATACAAGTCCCCAGGAAGGGTGTGAGGAGTGTTCTTACATTTCATGCTCATGTACTAGCCTATGATGGAACATTCTGGAGGCAGTTAATATATTTTCCTTCTCTCTCACTCTCAGAGGCCCTGACCTATCCCATGCTCTAGTGCTAAAACAGGGCCTGATGTGGAGGGCTGCGTGGCCTGTGACCCTGCCTTGGGTGTCTTGCAGACTATGATGCTGTGCTGACAGAGGCCGGAGATTACACAGAAAAATATTTCAAGCTTCGCAAACTCTTTGCATCTATTTCAGGTACTCAACACCCATTTGGTGGAAGGATGGCCACCCTATGGAAGAGTGAGGACAGGGAACAGTCTCTTCTATAAACATCAGTTTAATGAAGTTCCTGAGGGTAAAGGCAATCTTAGGTTCCAATTCTGGCTTTCCCACTTAAAAGTTGGGTGGTTTTGTATAAGCATTTCTAAGTCTTTTAGCTGAAAAATTAAGATAATGATATGAGTTTCCTATGATGGTGGTGAAGACTAAGTTCCTATTTGTAAAATTCTTAGTACTGTGTATGACTTAGGAACCCCATAGATAAAAAGAAAAAAACCCTCATTCTGTTTAATTGTATTTCACTAAATAAAGTCAGTTAGCCATCTACTAAGGCCTACAAACTAGGCCTAACATTGTAAAAGGTATAAGACAGAGTTCCCATCCCCTAATAGCCCTTTCTCTTCTATGGTTCTGTGTCTACCAGTTATGTGTGTTTACAAAATGGCTTCAACTTAGTTCTTGCCTATTTAGCATCACTTTTGGAGAAGCACATGCATATCCTAGCATAGATCTCATTTCTCTTGCTTACTGAGGGATACAAGGAATCAGGAATAAGAGTGAGGAGGCTAAGAGAAGGCAGTGGTAGGCATTTCTTGCCCTGTGACTCATTTTCTTTGTAGCAAAGCCCCTGCCCCTCTCACCTCAACATACTTTGAAGACCGTGTACCCTTCTGTGAGACCATCTCACTTCTTACCACTGTGGGAGGTCCTTCAGTACTTAAATGAGGTGAGCCCTGCTTTGGCACCAGCCTAGAATTGACCATTACAGAGATGGGGGGAAAGGACTGAGACCAGGGTGTAGAGATTCCTTCAAGGCTAACTTCACTTAGCATTATCTTCTCTAACTCCATCTATTTACCTGAAAATACAATGATTTTATTCTCTTTTATTGCTGAGTAAAATTCCATTGTGTATATATGCCACATTTTGTTTTTATCCATTCACCTATTGAAGGGCATCTAATTTGCTACCACAGTTTAGCTGTTGTGAATTGTGCTGCTATAAACATTGATGTGGCTGTGTCCCTGTAGTATGCTGTTTTTAAGTTCTTTGGGTATAAACTGAGGAGAGGGATAGCTGGATCAAATGGTGGTTCCATTCCCAGTTTTCCAAGGAATCTCCATACCGCTTTCCATATTGGTTGCACCAATTTGCAGTCCCACCAGCTAAGTGAAGTTAGCTAATCCTAAAAAAACAAATGCCAAATGTTTTCTTTGATATACGGTGACTGCCTCATAGTTGGGTAGAGAGGGGGAGCATAGGAGGAACAGACAAACTCTAGATAGGGCAGAGGGATGAGAGGGGAAAGAGGGGACAGGGGGTTAGCAATGATGGTAAAATGTGATGAACATCGTTATCCGAAGTACATATATGAAGACATGAATTGGTGTGAGCATACTTTATATAAAAACAGAGATATGAAAAATTATGCTCAATATGTGTAATAAGAATTTTAATTCATAAAAACAATAAAGAACACTTCTATTACTCCTTAAAAAAGAGATTTCTTCAAGGAACTTTTATTGTGAAGTATAAAAATTAATCCTTGGCATTATGTCTAAACATAGAGCCATGGAATAAGACCCACCAGTTCCTTTTGGGAGAACTGTGAAGAGGTTTAAACTTGAAGAATAAATGTTGGTGGAGGTGAATAGCAGGATTATAGAGGATATTGTATTTGACTGGTGAATATTGTGATGGCGTCCATAAAGGACTAGATCAGAGCTGGGAACCCATGTAACTGAACTGCTATCTTGATTCACCATCAACTAGTCTAGTCACTGAACTAGTATGGATCTCTGTTCCCCTTTGCAATTACAGTATGTACCCTATTTTGAAGAAAATTTGAAAAATTTTCAAAAACAAAGTCATGTGGTTTTTCACCTCTTATTTCACTATTTTAGATAAAAAGTAGAGACAAGCACATGCTAAGTAAATATTACTTAGTGAATACATCATCTCTTGACTTTAATTGTTTAGGATGTAATTTGTTTACTCAGTTGATAGATTCTTATGATTACAGAAAGTATGCTCTCTTCACCAGCACCTGAATTTCCTAGTCGGTAGAGACCCAACTTATAAGAGCATGGTCACATAGCATTTGTTCTATTATTTTCTATTCAGTGAACTCTTGAGGACCAATAAGTGGTTCAACAGTGATGAGGGTCTCAGACAGCAAGATCCTGACTTCTCATCCCTTTGGCTTCTGTTCCTGTCTTGTCTTCCTCATAGCCAGTGAAGTCACATATTCCAGTCAACATGGAGAATCTTCCAATAAACAATGGCAGTGGTCAGTCCTTTGGATTTGTCCTTTATGAGACTTCAATCTGTTCTGGAGGCCGCCTGCATGCTGAAGTTCATGATATTGGACAGGTAGCTATCAATAAGTATCCCAAGTGGTGAGCCTGGTGTTTATCTAACTCTGTAATTGAAGAAGCAAATTAGTTGCTGATCTGCTTTACTATATGGTAGTGTTTAAAGCACCTACTATGGGGGAGGCATTGAGATTATAAAGTCAAATAAAACAGACTTCCATTTTACTTTAACACAAATTATTTTGGGAATTCCCATTGAGCTTCTAAACATTTGTTAGTCCCTGCCCTGCCCTCATATTGACCTCCTTCTGCCTCAACCACAGCCTGTCTTCTCCTTTTCTTCAGGTGGCCCAGTCTTATGCTTTTTTTTTGTAGGTGTTTTTGAATTACACAATTTTAGGAGTTCTGAATGAGAAAGTTCAGGACCTGTTCATTCCTAATTTCACGGTATGTAGTTCTAAAATCCAGGTGTTGCCCTTGAACCACTGCTAACAGGTAAATATGTCCGGTTCCTGAGATCCCTCCTTCTCCTCCACTATGCTTTGGTGTATCTTCTCATATAGAGCTGCTGCAGGATTGTGCAAGGGTATAAGGTGTATCCCAAGCCCTGGTGTTTCGAACTTACAGCCCAGAAGTTCTAGTGAGAGTGTACTTTCTCCTCTAGGCAAGAGTCATTCCCAGCCTCTATTTAGGTCTCCGATCAAAGGCATAAGTAAGCTTCTATCTTTTTAATAAGATCAGCAGAAGAAAAGGGCAGATGTAATATGTAATAGAAGCACACCCATCTCTTTACTGGAGAGGGAGCACTGCTGGGCTGTGGGGCATCCTTTATCCCTTTTGCTTTTGTTTCCTTCTGGGACTTGGAGGAAATAATGAGTTCTAGAATATGAGTCCTAACTGGCTATATAGTATCCATTAACCATTCTGCCCCAAACAGGAATGTCAACTTCTCAGGATCCTGGTGGAGAATCAAGGACGAGTAAATTTTTCATGGAAAATTCAAGATGAGAGGAAAGGTGATATCAGGGCCTGAGAAGCAGGCAGTGGTTTCACTTTAGTTACTTAGAATGAATAGTTGGGGCTGTGTTGGGGTTGGGAGAACAACAGTGGACCCCTCAGCATGGGATACTGAGGATCTAGGACCAAAGATGACAACTCTTTTTCTTGCCCTTTCCTGCCTTTTCCACTTCTCCAGGGCAGGAAAGTAGAACAGTTATTGGGTGCTGGTTTGTCCAAGAGCAGGGCCCAGTCTCTTTTTGGGAATTTTAAGAAATGTTCCAATACTAAGTGGGAACGTCTTTATAGTTTAAGTATACAAGCAGAAACCTCATTCACAGCTGTCACATAGACGTCCTCCTGACTGTGCCCCCGTCACAAGGCATACATATGTCTTCATGTCTTTGTCCCAGATCCTGAAGAATATCTAGTCCTTGTTTCTATTCTCTTTACTGCCTCCCCTCTGCAGGATTAATTGGCCCTGTTAAAATCAATAATGTTTCTCTGGAGGGTTTTACCATCTATTCTTTGGAGATGAAGATGAACTTCTTCCAGAGGTATGCTCCTCTCTACCTCCAAAGACACAATGAGTGATCAGCTGCCTTGGTTATTTTTCTGTTGGTATTAAAAAAAATCTAAGGCTGGGAATTTTGAGAACAAAAAATGTTTATTTACTTCACAGTTCTGTCATTCTGAGGGCATGGTGCTGGCACCTGGTCTGCTCTGTTGTGGGCTCATAGTGGGTGGCTTTCCACAATAGGAATGTTTGCAGGAAGGCCAAGCATGTGGGGTGGCCTCACTATAATAAGCCATTCTCATACATACTAATCCACTCTGAAACCATATTAATACATTCTGAAATTGGTGACCCTGTGATCTAGACATTTCTTGGTCCTCCCAATTCTTAAAGTTTTCACCATCTCAATACCACCACTCTGGGGACCAAGCTTCCAAGATGTGCTACTCTGGGGTACAAACTCCAACTACATCCAAACCATAGCATCTTTGAGAGTTCGAACTGATCAGTTTGTAAGTGAACAGCCCAATATTCAGAGAACTATGGAATTTGCTCTATATTACCAAGTCCTTTGAATCAGGACTAGAACCCTAGAGCAAGTCTCCTGGTTCTCTTTTTAATACATGCATTCTCATAATCTCACTGAAACAGAATCCTGTGAGGGAAACCTGGGGTCAATATTGGGATGAGAGCTGGGAACCATTTTCCTCTTCCTTATGGTTTGATCCATTTTTTAGGCTCCGTTCTGCCAGCTGGAGGCCTGTATCAGTGAGATATTTGGGCCCTGCCTTCTACCTGGGGACCTTGAAGGCTGGCTCTTTTCCCAGGGACACCTTCCTGGGGCTACCAGTAAGTGAGCCTCCCTCTTCTACTCTGTTCTTCCTAATTTTAAAATTAATATCTAAGTGAGAATATTCCTGAGAGGAATGCTTGCCTTTCCTCCTCTTCCTACTTTAGCCAAGCATTCTAATATTTCTTAATTGCCCTAACTTATCACTTGTTAGAAAATGTATAAAACACAATTTAAAATTCAAATGATGGAAAGAAAATGAATTGTAGGAGTTCTTCTTAAATCCTATTGCTATTCCAATTCATTTGTGCATTTGAAAGCTCAGCACTGCCAAAATTTGTTTTTATATTTAACTTCGCCTACACACACACACACACACACACACACACAATTACTTTTTTACACTAATGAGATCATATCATAAATTATATTCTGCATTGATTTTGAGGGAGGCCTAAACTGGCCTCCCCTCAAAGTTTTTTATTTATAAACATAAATATATGAGTGTACAATATTAATATGTAGATTGACAAATAATTACAAAATAAACACCTATTAATAATCATTGTGATAAAGAAATAAGTTGTTAGCACAACTCTACAGTTGCTGATGGTTTTTACTTAAAGGTAGCTACTACATTAAATTCTAACACTCTAATTTAGTATTTCTTATAATGAATTCATATAAATTGAATCATATGACATGCATTCCTTTTATTTTTTGGTGTGGAATTAGGGATTGAATTCCCATCCTTGTACAGGTGAAGCAGGTACTTTACTACTGAGCACCTAAGGCAGGTGCTTCACCAGTTGGCCCTTTGTCAACATTGCTTGTGACATTCAACCATTCACTGATGTTGCATTGATTTGTTCATTTTCACTGTCATTTAGGATTACATTAGCAAATATATGATACTATATTTAACCCTTCTCTTATTATTGGATATGTCTGAAAGTGTTCCCTTACTTTCAGTTTTTAGAATAATTTAATAAGATTTGATAGTTTTTCTTTAAAAGTTTGGTAAAATTCAGCAGTGAAGCTATCTTGCCCTATATTGTTCTTTGCTAAGGCATTTTTTAATTTGAATTAATCTTGTATGTTCAGGTTTTATATGGTAGGTTATATGTGTTCAGAAATTTCTTTCTTTCTTTTAGATTTTACAATGTTAGTATATAGTTGTTCACGATAGTTCCTAATGTTATATCTGGGGTAGAAGTTATAATGTCTACTTTTTATCTGATTTAATTTATTTGGATCTTCTGTCATTTTTGTTTATAAAGATTGTCAATTTTATTATCTTTTCAAAAAACTAGTCTTGATTCCATTGATCACATGTATTATTTTTATTAGTCTCCATTTAATTCTTTTTTATTTCTCTGATCTTTTTTCTTTTCATTTTATTTTTTAAAATTTGTTTTAATTAGTTATACATGGCAGTAGATGTGGTGTAGAATGCACTTTAATGCATCATATATAATGAAGTACAATTTCTCATTCTTCTGGTTATACATGATGTAGAATCCCACTGGTCATATAGTTATATATGTACATAGGGTAATAATGTCTGATTCATTCTACTGTCCTTCCTACCCCATACTGCCTCCTCTCCATTCACTCCCCTCTACCTAATCTAAAGTAACTCTATTTTCCCTAGCCTACTGCTCTCTGACCTTTTAAAATTTATTTTCTACTACTCTTTTTGGGTTTGGGGTTTTCCCCTAGCTTTGCAAGTTGTACTATGAGGTTGTTTGAAATCTTTGAACATTTTTTTTGTAGTGCTGGGGATTGAACCCTTGTACATGCGAGGCAAGCACTCTAACAACTGAGCTCTGTTTACAGCCTGAACTTTATTGATATAGGATCTCATTGCTATAAACATCCCTCTTTGTGTTTCTTTTACTGCATCCCACAGGTTTTGGTATGTTGTATTTCCATTTTATTTGTTTCCAGAAATTTGAATACCTTCCCTTTAATTTCTTCATTGACATGTGGTCATTCAAGAGTTTGTTGTTTAACTTCCATGTATTTGTATAACATCCAAAACTCCTCTTTGATTTCTAGTTTTCTTCCATTGTGGTCAGAGAAGATATGATTTTAGTTTTTTCTAAATTTGTTGAAAGTTGTTTTGTGGGCTAATATTTGATCCATCTTGGAGAATGTTCCATGTGCCAATGAATAGAATTTGTGTTTTGCAGCTATTGGATAAAATGCTCTACAAATACCTCTCAGGTATATTTGTTCTATAGAGCAGATTAACTGCAATGTTTCTGGTTTTATTTTGTGTGTGGGGTGTGTGTGTGTGTGTATGATATGTTCATTGATGCAAGTGAAATCTTTAAGTCTTCAAATATTATTGTATTGGAATGCACCTTACCCTTTAGATCTAATAATGTTTGCCTCATAACATTATGTCTTCCAGAGTGAGGTGCATGTATATCTGTAAGTTGTTATTTCCCCTTGTTAAATTGATCTCTTTATAATTATTAAGTAACTTTTTTTTTGTCTCTTTACAGTTTTTTACTTAAAGTGTACTTTATCTGATGTAGGTACTGCCACTCTAGCTCACTTTGGTTTCTGTTTGTGTGAAACATCTTTTTTCATTCTTTCATTTTAGTCTGTGTGTATCCCTGGCAAGGTGAGTTTCTTATAGGCAGCCTATCATTGGGTCTTTTAAAACAAATCTTTTCAGCTAGTTAAATCCATTTATTGGTGAATGTTTTAGTCAGCTTTTTGTTGTTATGACCAAAAGACCCGACAGGAATAATGTGGAGTTACACTCTTCATGTATTCATATATGAATGATCACAGGAGAGTTATGTTGAATTCATCTTGCTATCTTTCCTATTCCCATTCCACTGATCTCTAATAATATTTCTTGTCTGTTTTTCTGATATTTTCACAGCTATAGAAATTTTCTTTTGATTAAGATTTACATGTTTTATCATTTACCTGTTTTGTTTTTCTTTTTTTAAAAATTTTTTGTCAATATCTTTATGTTTTCATCGATTCTCTCTTGGGTAGCACATAACTTTTTCACTTAAAATTCAGTCCAGCAATCTTTGTGTTTCAATTTAAAGCATTTGAAAGATTCCAGTTTTAAAATTTATTAGGCTAATTTGGTATATCCATTTTGATTCTTTCTCCTTCTGTTCTCCCTATTCTTTTGTCCTCTGATTTTATTTTTGGAAAATTTCTTCTTATTATTCAGTTTACTAACTTTCTTCTCTGCTATGTTTAATATGCTACTCAAAACACCATTAAATATTAATTATTGTGTTTTTCATTGCTGTGACTTAAATACCTGACAAGAACAACTTAGAGGAGGGAAAGTTTATTTTGGCTCCTGAGTTTACAGGTTCAGTCCATGGTTGGCCAACTCCATTGCTCTGGGTCTCAGATGAGGCAGAACACAACTGCAGAAGGGCATGGTGTAGGAAAGCTGTCAGCTCATAACAGTGGGAATACAGAAAGAGTGGTCCTCCAGGGACAAGGTATAAACTCCAAAGGTACATCCCCAGTGACCTCCTTATTCCAGGCACAATCTACCTGCCTACAGTGATCACTCAGTATAGTGGTTCTTTCAAATTATCAATCTATTAAATAGATTAGTACAATTATTAGGTAACAGCTCTAATAATGTAATCAATTTATCTTGGAACCCTCCTGCATTGTCTATTATATAAGGTTATTGGGGAACAACTCATATCTAAACAATAACACTATATTTTATAGTTCTTTAAATATTTTAATTTGATGCCAGATTTCTCAGTCTTGGTTTATACTTTTGAACATATTAATTTATTTAGCCCAATTATTTCCAAACCTGTGTCTTGCAATTCTGTTATCTGGATCACCTGTGCATTTACTTCTATTGCCTGTTGTTCCTCTTGGTTTTTATTATACTGTCCTTTCCCTTATCTTCCCTTATCTGCTTGCTTATTTTTTTCATTGAGCATCAGACAGATATCTGGAAAATACTATACACACACACACACACACATATGTATTTATATTTCTATGTCTAGGATGATGTCATTTTCCTCCAGTGAGGATTTATATCTCTCTTGAGGTGACAGGGTCACTCAGAAGCACATTGCTCTAATTACAAGGATGGAAATGATTTGAAGTGAGGCGTCCAATGAATAGACTATTTCTACTTCACTTTTATCCTATGTTATATCCTCTGGGAGCTCTCAACCAAAGTGTACTTTGTTTAGTAAAGCTTGCTGGCATCCAGTTTTTGTGTCCTTATCCTTATAAAGGTATGAAAGGTTTCATGCAGCTCTTTAGAAGTACTCTTTGAGGAAGTAAATGTTTCTAGTAAAAAAAACTGCCTGGATTGCCCCCCCTTTTCATTATCTTATTTTAGATCTTGGTGCTATAGTTTTTCATTGTATCAGAAGCAGATTAAAAAAGATTATGTAGCTTTTACAGCTGTTGCCACCAGTAGTATTCATCTCTACTACCTAATACTTATTTTCAGAAGCAAAAAGACTCCTTTAGCCTCAATGGTTAAGCACCTCTGGATTCAATCAATCCCAGATACCAAAAAGAAAAAAATATATGTCACATTATGCATTATAGGGATAGGGCAGGAGGAACAGAAACATCATAGTACAGGGCTGGTTCCAGTCCTGTTTTCCTCTCTGATTCCTAGACATCAGGGTTGAACTTCTCAGACTTATTTTTTTTCTGCCTGGCGTGGTGGCACACGCTTGTAATCTCAGCAGCTTGGGAGGCTGAGACAGGAGAATCGCAAGTTCAAAGCCAGCCTCAGCAATGGTGAGGCACTAAACAACTCAGTGAGATCCTCTCTCAAAATAAAATATAAAATATGGCTGGGGATGTGGCTCAGTAGTTGAGTGCCATGAGTTTAATACTTGGTACACCACCACCCCCCCAAAAAAAAGATATACTACTTTCTAAACTTTACTTCCACCTTCAGTGTTATAGGTATCTTGCTCTCATTCCCCAAGTGCTTTAAGTTTCACTTGCTGGTGTGAATCTCTTCCTGTATCTCAAGCCTCATCCTTTTCAGGGATGGGTTTCTGGATTTGTGTTCATCAATGGACATAACCTTGGGCGATATTGGAACATTGGGCCTCAGGAAACACTTTACCTTCCCGGAGTCTGGCTTCATCCAGGGGACAATGAAGTAAGTCAGCCCAAATCCTTCCTTGATATCTGATAAACCTTCAGACTATCACTCATCCTCAGAAAAAAAAAATGTCTTTATCTTTTTTACTATTTATTTTCCTTTCCTCCCAGATCATCCTGTTTGAGAAGATATCAAGTGGCTCACACATCTACTCTACAGGCTTGCCCAAGCTGTGACACTGTATTTACACATTTTTTTGATTGTTGGAGTTTGTTTTTAAGTTTTTTTTTTTCAGGAAGAAGATTAATGTTAAGAAGATGCCACCCAGTGTTGCCTCTAACAGCAAAAATACAAAGACAACCTATAAAATCAACAAGGCATGGTTACATGTTTTAGAGTATATGGGACTAATTTTTAGGTTTAAACAAGTCTTCAAAATCTTCAATGTCTTGTTTATCTAGATAGACACTTAATACTTAGCAGGTTCAAATGCACCTGTGGCCATAGGCAGATATAAATAAAATAGAAATGATTTGTGCTTCTTTCTCCCTGTACTCAATTGGGAGGATGGGAAGGGTCTATAACCTAGGAGAGAGTAAAGATACTGTGCATCCCATACAGAGAGAATATTGAATTTACGACTGGCAAATGCATGGTGTGTGTGTGTGTGTGTGTGTGTTTGTGTAGAAGGATGGGGTAGCGGAGGGCAATGAATAATGTCTTTAATCATTTTGTTGTAGGGGACAGATGAGGCAGAACATCTGATAGGAAACAGGAAGCAGTTTTATTTGGCTGTAGCCAGGTTCAGAGGGCACAGCTTTCACTGAATCAATTAATTCCCCTGAACCCTGAGTTCATGCTGTTTCAGAACTTTATACACAGTGTGTAAGGGAAGGGCTCAGAAGTTCACACAAAAACAGCTTTTTCTTTCATTGTTCTAGGCAAGTTAACCCTTCAAGGACAACTCCTGAGAAGGGGAGAGCTTCTTCTCCCCCCTTTTCCCTCCCCCTGCCAGCTTCTCTTATCTTTGAAATATAAACATCTCTGTGCAGCTCTCACCCAAAGCCAGAAGCTTCATTACAGGATCTGTCTTTCTTATCACACTTTGCATTTGCAGACACACTTCCCTTGAAAACTTTTACAAATACACACACACACACACACACACACACATACAGTAGATAGTCCATAAGTGTTTATGGAAAGCTAGTAAAGAGGTGTTCAGCACCTGGAGTGCTGATCTCTTTTAGGCCTGTGGACAAATTTTATTATTGTAAGATAGAGCAACAGGAAATAGAAAGCTTAACTACATTTATTTTTTTTTGTAAATATTCTTTTGCTGATAGTCCTAAGGTCAATTATGGTGAAGATTTCTAGAGAAGCTCAATTAAGATTTTCCGTGGAGGAGGGGGTGCCACTACAATTTCCTTGAAGCTGTGTGTCTCCAAGGTGACCTGATGAGTCACATCCAGTCAGAGACAGGATAGCAATTTGTTTGTTTGGTTCAGACACACATCACAGCAAAGGTCAGTATAGTCTTCTGTGTCTTATTCCTCCTTGGCTGTACAGTTGAGGCTCTTATTGATAGTGAACAGGTATTTGTGAAATTAACACACACAGACATTAATAATCCAACTAATCTCAAGTGATACCATTGGAAACCAATTACATCCTTCCACACAAAACAGCTCCTGACCTAAATCAAATCATTGCACTATGATAAAATATTCTCACTTTATTCAATATTGTGACTAGGGCTTTAAGAAATATAGAAGATAAACATGTGTTCCAAGCGAGGAAGGAGCCTCCCTGTTTGAAATGAAGAGAAAGGAGTCAGATTATCAGCCCATCCACAAATTTAGTGAGTCTCACTGAAAGGGAATCACATATCTACATAATTCCTATATAAATCTTTATTCCATGGGGCTCAAGACTCAAACCTATGAACTCTATGGCTACTGTAGCATAAGGGAGGAAAGCAGAAGTGACAATCCTGATGACCAATAGCATATTATGTTATGGTTCAGATGCAACTTCTGAATCATCTACACACAACAGCAACTGTTATCACATCCCATTCCTGCCAACACAATATGAAGGTTCCAGTTTCTACAAGTCCTCACCAATACTAGTTGTTTTAGGCAGTTTTTTTCCGCTGCTGTGACTAAAAGATCTGACCAGAAAAATTATAGAGGAGAAAAAATTTATTTGCGGGCTTACTGTTTCAGAGGTCTTACTCCATAGAAGGTCGGCTCCATTCCTCAAGGCTGGATGTGACGTAGAACATCTTGGTGGAAGACTGGTGGAGGGAAACAGATTTCATGGTATTCAAGAAGCAAGAAAGAGAGAGAGAGAGAGAGAGAGAGAGAGAGAGAGAGACTCTGCTTTCCAGATACAAAATATATGCCCCATAGCCATGTGCTAATTCTTACCTCCTTCAGCCACACCCTACCACTTCAATTAATCCCACTAGGGATTAATTCACCAATTGAGTTAAGACTCTTACAACCCAATCATTTCTCCTCTGAACCTTCTTGGACTGTCCTTTGTATTTGCTAAGAGTTGCCTTGTGGCATAATATATGGTCTATTTTTTTTAGAAGGATCCAGGTGCTGCTGTGAAGAAAGTGTATCTGCTTGATGTTGGTTGATATATTCTATATATGGAAATTAAGTCTAATTTATTAATTGTGTTATTGAGTTCTATAATTTCTTTATTTAATTTTTGTTTGGAAGATCTGTCCAGTGGTGAGAGAGGTGTGTTAAAATCACCTATGATTATTGTGCTGTGATCTATTTGACTCATGAACTTGAGAAGAGTTTGTTTGATGAACATAGATGCACCATTGTTTGGGGCATATATATTAATGATTCCTATGTCTTGTTGGTGTATGGTTCCCTTGAATAGGATGTAATGTCCTTCTTTATCCCTTTTGATTAACTTTGGCTTGAAGTCTACTGTATTTGATATGAGTATGGACACCACTGCTTGCATCTGAGGTCCATGTGAGTGTTATGATTTTTTCCCAACCTTTCACCTTCATTCTGTGTATGTCTCTTCCTATCAGATGAGTCTCCTGTAGGGAGCATATTGTTGGATCTTTTTTAAAATCCAGTCTACTAGCCTATGTCTTTTGATTGGTGAGTTTAAGCCATTAACATTTAGGGTTACTATTGAGATAATGGTTTGTATTTCCAGCCATATTTGTTTATTTTTGTTATTTAAGTTGATCTATTTTTTCTCTTTGATTAGTTTTTCCTTAACTTTATTACTTCCCACTGTTGGTTTTCATTGTTATTTTTCATTTCTTCTTCATGAAATGTTTTGCCAAGGATGTTTTGAAGTGCTGGTTTTCTAGCTACAAATTCTTTTAACTTTTGTTTATCATGGAAGGTTTTTATTTCATCTTCAAACCTGAAGTTGGAACCCATTATCTTTCAGCATTTGAAATATGTTTTTCCAGGATCTTCTATCATTCAGGGTCTGTGTTGAAAGATCAGCCATTAATATAATTGGTTTACCCCTATATGTAATCTGCTTCCTTTCTCTTGTGGCTTTTAAAATTCTCTCCTTGTTCTGTATGTTGGGAATTTTCATTATAATGTGTCTTGGTGTGGATCTTTTGTGATGTTGCACATTCGGTGTCCTGTAGGTGTCTAGATTTGGATTTCCTTTTTATTCTTCATGTCTGGAAAGTGTTCTGATATTATTTCATTGAACAGATTGTTCATTCCTTTGGTTTGGACCTCTCTACCTTCCTCTATCCCAATAACTCTTAAGTTTGGCCTCTTTATGTTATCCCATATTTCTTGGATATTCTGCTCATGGTTTCTTATGAGTCTCACTGTGCTGTCTACATTCTTTTCAAGATGATATATTTTGTCTTTGTTGTCTGTTGTCCTATCTTCTAAGTGATACTCTCATTTGAGTTTTTCTTTTGGTTTATCATTTCTTTTAGTTCTAGGATTTCTGTTTGGTTTTTTTGTATAATCTCTATCTCCCTGTAGAGATGATCTTTTTCTTCTTGGATTTGTTTATGTAATTCATTGTCAAAGTGATCTTTCATTGTCTGTATTTGTTGTATAATGTCTTCTTTGATACTCCAGAACATCTGGACCATGTATATCCTGAAATCTTTATCTGACATTCTTTCTGCTGTAATGTTACTTCTTCTAATGATGTATTATCTTACATTGTTTGTGGTCTTTTCTTTCCTTGTCTTTTCATGTTGCTACATTTCTTTCAGTTCTGTGAGACTGGTGTGTTATTGTTTTTACCCTATAGATTTATATTGCTCTTATATAGTTCTGAGATCTCTCCTTTGTGAGGAAGGACAATATTAACAGTTCCTAATATCAATCATACATCATCTATGAGCAAGTTTTTGTTATTAATATATTTATAGTTAGTCACTATGTCTAGAAATGTTGGATTCAATTATTATTTAAAATATAGTCATTAGTTTAATAAAAGGCATACAGTTTCTGGTGGCATATAGAGAACTGAGGGTTGGGCATAGAACATTATGTTATGGGGGAAAGATGTGAGGGTATGGGGTTAATATATCTTAGCAACTTTGGAGGAGAACTCTAATGAAGGACATTATTAGCAGGAGAATAGACAGGAGGTATTTTAGAGTAGATAAGTACATGGGAGGACAATAAGAAGCATAGAAACAAACACCTATTTACATTTAGTAAATTACATGTAGTAGAAACAGTAACACTTGGAAGGTTGAGAGAGGAAGAGAAGGAGGAAGAAAAATAAAAAACAAAGAAGAAAAAAAAGGAAAAAAAGGGATAGAGGGAAATGAATGAAAAGAAAAAGAAAGGAAAAAAAAGAAGAAAAAGAAAAAAACAAAAAAGAAAGAAAGAAAAATGCACTCTTAGAATTCTGTTTTCTTCTCTTCCAGTAGGTGGCATTGTGTATTCCAGGTTGAGTCTCTGCCTTCAGGGTGGTGGAAGCAATCCTTGTGAGGTGGCTCTCCCTCACCTGCTGGGTGTCTCTCCAATCCTGGTCTCTTTGAGTTGCTCCCTGTCTCTATCTGCTTTCCCTCTCTGGCCCACCAGGCCCCAATTGATGGATCTCTTGTCCGTAGCCCGGGGTTCACTTTGGGCAGGTGGTGCCCTGGGCGCCCCACACTCCTGATCAACTGAGAGCTATCTCTGTGTTGGATAGTCACCACATCATCACAGCTGGGGAGAGGGGGAGTTGGAAACTGGCAACCTGGTCAGTC